CACTCAAGCAGAACCCGCCAGTTCTGAGAGCGGAAAACCTGCAGCTCTGCAACCGTGAGAGCTGACAGTTTAACAAGCTTTAGAATAAAGTGGAAAAAAGGGACAGTATTGACTAATAATGCAATTCAAGCACTGCTTATTTGCATATATTTGCATAACCCTTTCATTTTTTAGGAGTACAAAATATGCATCCTGAGGATAAAGAGCTGTTATCGAGTCATATCAATGCCTATGCCCAGTTTTGCTCTTATACTGAGAGAGTATTTTGCCCCCAAAGGCTGCCAAACATGCGGGATACTTGAACACGCTTTCTCAGTAACATTCTTTTATGATTTCCCCCTGCCGCCAATCCAAAGGCTTCCAGACCCAAAATAAAAGTATAAGTTAGTTTGACTATTGCACTTGTCAGCTACGAACTTCTGTATATACAAGGGTGAAGGTGAATGCACAAGCAACACACTGATCCTGAGATCATCTCTTGGGTATTCGGGCTTTCCTTCACCCAAAATAATGAGCGCTGCTGTAAGAGCAACAGTCAGGGCCATTCTCGATCCAGTTCCACACAGCCGCTTTCACTGAATCTGTCGAAGATGCAAGGAAATTCAAAGCGGATTGCAATGCTCCCCCCTGCCGCCAATCCAAAGGCTTCCAGACCCAAAATAAAAGTATAAGTTAGTTTGACTATTGCACTTGTCAGCTACGAACTTCTGTATATACAAGGGTGAAGGTGAATGCACAAGCAACACACTGATCCTGAGATCATCTCTTGGGTATTCTGGCTTTCCTTCACCCAAAATAGTGAGCGCTGCTGTAAGAGCGGTGAAACAACAGTCAGGGCCATTCTCGATCCAGTTCCACACAGCCGCTTTCACTGAATCTGTCGAAGATGCAAGGAAATTCAAAGCGGATTGCAATGCTCCCCCCTGCCTCCGCAACTGTACCATTTCCTCCCTTCGTGAATACTGTTGCAATTTATTCTGCGCATAGCCACATTTGGAGAGGAAGAGGAAATAAAACTATTTGTTATGCTGTAGATATACCTTAACTTGCGCAAGACGTGTTCGTAGGAACTTAGTAATTTAGATGCTTAAGCTGAAGAAGTCAGTTTTCCTCAAAAAAAAAAAAAAAAGTTGAGACATGCCAAAGGCTTCTTTATTCCTCTGGACTCCCTACTTCCCCTCTGCCCCCAGTATGAAATTCTGAGAGTAACTGATTCTTCATTATTCATCAGATCAACAGCAGCTTTACAGCAGTAGTACAGCAGTTTTATTTAGGCTCCTGTAAGAGTTCTCTCAACTAATAGGATGGGAAATTAAAGGTTATTGGGCAATGTCTTGGGCAAATAAGCCCTATGTTTGTAACAGGCTATAGCCTTATAACTCCACATACAGCTATTTTAGATATAGGCTAATCTAAAATAGCAGTCTGTATGACTGCAATAACACAAATAAGTTTCCTCCCTCCCCAGATAAGATGAGAACATAATTTTAATATGAGAAGTTGCTGGCTTGCATTCAGTGCAGCTCTCATACTCTGCTTTCAAAGAATTCCCATCCTAAACCTTTTCACCTTTAAAGCAGTTCCTCTTCAAAGTAAAAAATGGTGATACAGTTAAAAAAACAGAATATTTAGACCTATACATCATTCCTTGAACATTTTAAAAAGAGAATGGTTATACAAGTTCGTCGAGTCTTGTCAAACCTCAGTTAGGCACAAATGCTTAAGTACAGTAGGCAGTACCAGAAGGAACATAAATATCTGCCTACAAATTGGCTACTCCTTCCTTAGTATAGTTTGAATATTACACATTAAGATCAAGACAGACAGACAAGGTTTTCTACAACTTTTCCTGTGATCAAAGTACACCTCTCTCAGAGAGAAGTGTTAACTTCCTGAGGCTGAAGCAGCCAGAGTGACTCATGATGTGCGAGTTCCCTTTGTGCCCTGTTTGATCAGTGCCCACTCTCTGCTTATTAATGACACCTGAAAGTCTTCATTAACCATCTCACCACTGATTTCAGTAGATTAAGCAGCTGAGAATAAGTCCACAGGAGTAGTGGTATAATTTAAACAGCTGCAAAGAAAGAAACAGAAACAAAAACAGAAGACAAGTAAGAGCTAAAAGTAAAGCCTTTTCACTGAGTAACAGCAAATAAAGTGGTAAGACAGCATTTACCAGGATGCTAGGGTATCTCCTCCTTTCTCTCTCTCTGAAGCCAGTGGCAATCAGGCTACTACTAGCAAGCACAAACATTTACCACGTGCATGTACTGCACTACCTGTGTAAAGTGAGCCGTTACCGGTGACCAGCAGCACTGCCAGAGCAAGCTATTCCAAGCCTGGCACAATGGTTTGCACAGGAGTTCATGCAGGTGTGGAAAAAGTCATGCAAATCCCCTAAGTTTTGTCTGAAATTGTGCTGAGAAGCAGTATGCCAAATCCAACCTACCAACCCCTCCAAACGATCTCGGAGCACAGCTCTGACCAAGACCCCCACGGAGTCCTCCAGGGACGAGGAGGGATATCCAGAACACTCCTCCTTTGCAGACCCCCAGCCCAGGCCGGTCTCTCCCGCTGGCACAGCGGGATGCAGGCGGCTCAGTGCAGGACACTGCCGGCTGCCAGTGTCACAATCAGGGCACCAGCCACCCCAGGAACCCACCTGCTCTGCCTGCGTTTCTCGTAAGGAAGCATAGGCAGAAAGTTAACATTTTCTAGCTTGTATAAAACATCTCTCTACCCTTCTGATGTGTTACAAGAACAGTAGTACTATGTACTGCGGTTGTGAAAAGAAAGCAAAGGTTGTCCTCATTTCTAACATAGCATTTTCCACAAAAAAAATAAATAAGTGACTGCGGGAATCGCCTGGATCCTGCGGTCCTCAGTGCAGCGGAGACGGGAGCCGCGCGGCCGCGCGGCCCGGCCCGCACGGAGCCGCCTGCTGCAGCGGGAACCCGCTCCCCGAGGAGCCCGCGGCGGGCGGGGCAGGGAGCAGCCCGGACCAGCCTCCAGGACACGGAGGGAGCCCCCCGGCACAGCACGCGGCTCCTCGCCCCGCCGTGGCCGCGTAGGAGGGCAGCTCTAACCACCACGCAGCTCCTCTGAACAGCCTAACGTGGGAAGCAAAAGCAGGACCCTCAATTTAAAGCCCATCCCTAATTTTTACTCATGGTTCTCACAGCAAATCTTCTGAAAAAACTTCATTGGAAATAAACAACATGAGGATAATGCTACCACAGGTCTCAAGTTCATAGACAAAACTGCTACTCTAACTTTAAAAAGTCATTATTCAGAGGCAGACCATCCGGGATTACCTCACTACCATGCGAGTTGCAAGTTAGCAACTTGCACTTTAGAATAAGTGGGACGAGTTTTTCCCTTGTTGTTACATAAAGCTAGTGATTCATTTGCCACAGATGATCATGTCTGTTACTATGATTTATAGGAATATTAAGTACTATAAGCTATGCAAAAGGAATGTATGTCCTCAGAATGACTTAAAAATGAATAAGATATTTCCCGATAACTATAACAAGCTATGAAAAAAATAAGTCACTAGTTTGAAGTCGAGCCTTATTTGCACTAAGACACATTTGCCAGCTGGATCAGCAATCCTCTTAAGGTAGGCAGAAGTGCAGGAGTATTTTTAACAGTATAACTTTCTTTCACGTTCTTTACTGTTCTATTTTTAAATCAGAGCTAGCGAAACTGTCTACAACTTGGGCTTTGTTTACATAAAGGTATAAGCAGAATTACTATCTCAAACAGTGCTAGTTAGAGCTTCAGAAAACACAAAGCCTGCATTAGTGCAGACTTTAAAAAAAAAAAAAAGTCTTTAAGGGCAACTTGAGTTACCTCCTCCATCATCTGCACCCTAAACCCCACACATGCAGCAAGGCTCCCAAAAGGCATCCTAAGCAAACCTGAGTTATCTTAGAGTCTGATATTCTTCCAGGGTGACAGAAGGATCATAGGAAAATTCAGCAAGCTAGGCTTTTTCATAACAGTGTTATTTGTATTATTAAAAATAGGAGCAAGTATAACCCACATGCATTTTGTTCCTCCAGTAATCAAACATTAGTAACATTAATTTAACACTCAAACGTAACTTCCTTTGAAAGTCTTCCCTCAAAGAAGAGGATGAAGAGCAGTTTTAGCCATCGTGCCACCCTGCAGAGCAGGGAAATAGGCCTGGGAAAGAAGCCCCTCTCTCATGTTTCCTCTCTCAGGCCACCTGATGGCCTGTCCCTACTGAAATCCTTATTAAAAGGAATGGTTCCATGATATCCTTCTCTACAGGAGACTTACTTTGAGACTGTATTTTCCATTTCTACATATTTTCCCCAAGTGAGCAGAGCAAGCAGCACAGTCTTGCTCAATTTAAAAAGGTTGTCACCTGAAGTTTATTGTATTAGCACATTCAAATTCACATCTAGGTTGCAGGTATTTTCCTTATTGATTGATTGATATTGCAAACTGCAAGCCTGATGGCAGGATAAAAATCAAGTATCAGAGCTAGAAACCTGCAAGCTTTCCAAGGCTCCTCACCCAACAGCCCCAAGCAGCACTGTGTTTTCACTGCCAACATTGCAGTCTAGCAGTGCTGATAAACCCATGTCGTGCCCATGTCCAGGGAAAAGGAAACAACCAGCTTCCTCACGTACTGAGCCATATGCAGGAGCATAGACAGTTTTCAGCTAGTTTGCACATGGAAGAGGTTACTTACAGCTTTCTGGGTACTTCCTGCCCTGTTTTCAGGGGCAGATTACCACACACTCAGATGGAGAAGAATCAGTACTGTTCACTGCTTGCCTGTGCACTCACCATGCTCTGTACTCTTAAAAGCACGCATATAAACAAACAAAAACCCACATAGAAGCCCAGGGATATTTTGATAAGAGGCTTTTTAAAAATACGATCTACTAAAAAACACCTGACCGTAACCTAAAGCTTTTTTGACTGTTTGTTCTTTCAGAAATAGAGTTTGAAATAGTTCATACCTGTCTTCATCACCATCAACAGGAATAGATATGCCAAAGACAGAGCTGGCAAGACTGTTCATGGGAGTACTCGTAGGTAACTGAAGAGGATTTGTTAGAGTGTCTGCAACGGGAGGCTTCACAAGAGGCTTATTTTCAGCTATAACAGCAAGTGGTGGCTGAGGTAGGGGTTCCGACTTTCTTCTAGTCTCGTCGATCTGGCCCACTAAGGACTGGGTCTGGAACTGTCCGAGGCTCGAGTGCGG